TAGTATTAGACAACTTATAATCCACCCTCACCTTTTTTACCTTCTCAACTTGAACTTCTTATTTTTACCTTCTCAACTTGAACTTCTTATTTCCTTCTGATCTTCCTTATCTTGTTGTTTGTTATCATCCACCTTCCATTCCCTGTCTTATCGGTACTCCCCTCCCATTATATTCTGCCTGTATCTAATGACATTGAGGAATGTCGGATCACGTTGTTTCAATTAGAATTCAGTCATTCCTCTCCAGCTTTCATTAAAATATATTAAATTCAACCGAAAACATTCTTATTTTGTCCAAAACTGCGATAATGACCATTAAGTTTGTACCAGGGCTATTTATTTTTTACAATTCTGTTTTTAATTTTTTAAACCTGAACGCAGATCAAACATGATTATTCATGAATTGTAGAGGTAGATAAGGGAAGGGAAATGATAGGGAAATTATTTTAGGAGAAGTATTGGCCCCTGATCCCCTGTCGCAATAAACATTGCCAAATAATACCATGAAGGGTACCGGTCAATTTATGCAATCCCGTATTTGCAAACCAATTGGTCAAATATGTAAAGCGAAAACAGTTTTTTCTTCAACCTTTTTCAAGTTATTTTTGTTAAAGCATATTTGTTATTTTTGCTGTGGAGAGGGGTGAGATATTTTTTTATTGTTATGAACAGTAAACAATAACAAACATCGTATGAAACCCCTATCCCCCTCTTCTTGATTTTGCCACAAATAATTCGTCTTTTGGTTTGTCTAAGCCTCCATTGTAGTTTAATGTTTTAATTGTCATTATCTTTTATTTGTTTTTCGAGATTAATTTTTCAATTTAAATATCTCTCTGATGGTTTGTCTTAATGGTTATCAGCATGATATATATATATCGGTTTACATATGAAAAGTTCCAAATTCAAATCTAAATTTTTCGTCTGTTTTTGTGCCAGTATTCTGTCTATTTGTATATCTATCATGTCTTTTTGTGTTGTCTGTCTCAGTTCTTGTAAGTTTTGAATGTTAAAGATTGAAAACTCTCTGGCTCCAGTTTTACCGCCAAAAACATAGGGTGGGGTCTTACTCATGCCTAGCGGGGTAGCTGAGAGTGGGGGGAATTTGACCCTAGATGGGGGAGGGGGATTTGATTAAACTTAAAATATCATCAACACAATATAGCTCAATAGTTTAACCGTCATCCCCGCTCATTCATTCATATTTATTCATTTATTCAATTTTTTCATTCAATTATAGATTCAGCCATTTATTCAATTATTTATTCATTCCTTCATTCAATTATTCAATAAAACATTCATAATTATTTTTTCATTTATTTATTTAATTCTTTCTTAAAATTATTCCTTCACATAATTATTATTTTTTATTCAATTTTTTACTCATTTATTCATTCTTCAATCTTCATTCATTACTCATCATATTTTGTTTAATTTCTTCCTATCTCATCCTGGCATTGTTTATATATATTTCTCTGTCCACTTTGTCCTTTTATCACTTAATTTTATGCATTCATTATTTTAATCATTATCTAACTAATCTTTTCATTCATTCATTTTTTACTTATCTTTTATTCTTTTAATTATTTTATGCATTAATTAATTCATTAATTCATGAATTTATTCATTCATTCATTCCTTCCATCATCCTTTCATTCATTCATCCTTTCGTCCTTCCTTTCATTCAATCATCCATTCATTCATTCATTTACCCTGGTCCCTGACATAATGAAATATTCTTCTTATCATAAATTCAGTTTGATTCTTAATATAAATATTAATCTTTGCTTTAGTGTCACAAATTATCATAATTTTATAATTTATTTAAATTAATTAACAAATTTTGCATTTTACAGTAAAAAATGCATGGATTAGTAAATAGAGAGAAAGATATAAAGAGAAGAAAGCTAGAAAAGGAAAAGATGCTTCTAAGCAAAGTTTGGAAGATTAGAAAAAATTTGAAAGGTTAGAAAAGTTAAGAAAGGTTAGAAAGGTTAGAAAAGTTAAGAAAGGTTAGAAAGGTTAGAAAGGTTGGACAAGTTAGAAAGGTTATACAAGTTAGAAAGATTAGAAAGGTTAAAATTTGAAAAGTTAGAAAGGTTAGACAAGTTAGATAGGTTAGAAAGGTTAGATAGGTTAGACAAGTTAGAAAAGTTAGAAAAGTCAGAAAAGTTAGACAGGTTAGAAAGGTTAGATAGGTTAGAAAGGTTAGATAGGTTAGATAGGTCAGAAAGGTTAGAATGGTGAGAAAGGTTAGAAAGGTTAGACAAGTTAGAAAGGTTAGAAAGGTTAGAAAAGTAAGAAAAGTTAAAAAAGTTTATAAGGTCAGAAAGATTAGAAAGGTTTATAAGGTCAGAAAGATTAGAAAGGTTTGATAGGTCAGAAAAGTTAGATAGGCTAAGGTTAGAAAAGGTTAGAAAGGTTAGAGAGGTTAAAAAGGTTAGAAAGGTTAGAAAAGTTAGGAAAGTTAGGATAGTTAGAAAAGTTAAAAAAAATTAGAAAGGTTTATATAGTCAGAAAGATCAGAAAGGTTTGAAAGGTCAGAAAGGTCAGAAAAGTTAGAAAAATTAGAAAGGGTTGAAAGGTTAATAAGGTCAAAAAGGTTAGAAAGGTCACAACGGTTAGAAAGGGTTTAAAATATAGAAAAGATAGAAAATTTAGAAATTTAAAACGGTTAGAACGTGAAAAGAATTATAAAGATAAATGAAATTAGTTTAGATATTTAAGATAATGCATGAAATCAACGGTTTTTTATGATGCATGTTATCATAATATCAAAACATATATGATATTAGTATCTGGTGTGAATACTGAAAATACACTTTATTATTTGAAGTTATAAAATCAGGTTTATAAGGGGGGGGGGGCTTTATACTTTCATCTAACCTCCTTCCCTGTTGTTAATTTTCTTACTTAATTCAATTCTTTTTTTTTTTTGATAAAGCCTTATTGTGAGATTTTACAGTTTTCAACCCCCCCCCCCTTCCCCCTCTCCCGGTCCTATATGTACATACTCAAACATATGCTTAATTTAATGTAAAAACATTTATTTCATGATCATTACATGCCTCTTTACTCTCACACGCACATTAATCTCGTCCTAAAATAAATAAGTTTTTTTTATTATACTAAGCTTTGATTCAGTCTTATACTTTTTTGTGGCCAGCCTTAAAGAAATCGGTGAGGTCGCTAAACTACCTACCGCCGGTTCAAACCCTTAATTACTTTATTTAGGATTTGAACCAGTGGTAGATAGACCAGCAATATGTTCAAATACATAAATTCGATACCTGGTCAGTGTCACACACTGTTTTGCCAAATTATTAAAATGGTGGAGGATTATTATATATATTTATAAATAAAAAACTAAAAATCTTTAACTTTTCTTCAATAACCAACGATACTTAAATTCTTAAATTAAATAGCAGTTTTTTAAAAAATGTATCTTTAGTTAAGATTTTCAAATAGAATCCTCCAATATCAGAAATCAATGCATATTAAAGGGACTGTAAGCGTAATTTCAAGTTACCAGACAGACAGACAGACAGACAAGTTAAATTTATATATAGATTAAAGTTGGAGTAATATACAATTATCAATATTTTTTAATGTCAAATTAAATATTATTTTTTTATTCATCTTTAGATAAGATTTTCAAATAAAATGCTCGATTTTAGATATTAAGACATATTAAGATCGATTATACAAGAATAATAGATTGTTTAACGATAAATCTCATTTCTATTTGTTTTCAGACATGTTAAATATATAAAAAAATGGCCACAACAGAAGACGCCAAGGATTTTGAGAAGGTAAGTGTAAGTTGGTGATCAATCCAGTGCTTGATATAGATCCGGATCTACATCAATCCAGTGCTTGATATAGATCCGGATCTACATCAATCCGGTGCTTGATATAGATCCGGGTCTACATCAATCCAGTGCTTGATATAGATCCGGATCTATATCAATACAGTGCTTGATATAGATCCGGATCTACATCATTCCAGTGCTTGATACAGATCCGGATTCCAAAAATAAACTGTTTTTTGTTGTTCAATGTTAAAGCTTAATTACAAAGAAAAAGTGCTAATTACTTACTTTAAAAACGTGAAGTAAACTAAAAAAGTGAATTAAGCCCTTTAAAATGCGTCGTTAAAACTGAACGCAATCCCTTAAAAATGTCAATAATTTCTGCCGGAGATACATTAAACATATGTAGTTGATATTTAACACTCGCAATAAATCTGCCCTAAACCAGACTTAAGATATATTTATAAAAATTCAAACGAATTTATCAAAATAATTTGGTGATAAAAATAATTTTAAGGCTTACCCAAATTGTTAATACAGAATTTGCCATTCAGTTATTAAGTTGCATGTTTATGTTTTTTTGCCTATTAAGTTACCTGTTAAACTGTTAGTTCTTGTTTTCATGAAATTTTTTTAATGAGATTGTTTTGAGCATATCTGGGTTATTTTTTTAGTTTTACAGAACGCTTCGCGCATTCCTTTCTAAATATTTTAATTTGTTTTAGATAATTTTTTCTTCGTATTATTCGTAATAGTCCAAACATTTTGCAGATTTCGTGGTCATTGTTAGATTTTCAACAACCTAAAAAAATATAAAGGCAAAAAATAAATAACTTTTACTGGTGCCATATCTGAGCTCTTTTTTTGACATCAGATACAAACCATCAGACAATCCAGACAAGATGATTTGTCAAATATTTTCGTAGTAAAGAAATATTTGTAAATAAAATATTTTTTAGGGCCGTATACGAGCCCTTCAAGAAGAGAGGTTGCATATACAAAAGAAAACCTTCACAAAATGGATGAACTCATTTCTACAGAAAGCAAAAATGGAGGTAAGTAAATACTAGCCCGGCGTTGCCCGTGGAATTAAAAATAAAATTTCAAATTTTCAAGAAAATTGTCGAATTAAAAAAAAAATAAGGAAATTTGTTTAGCCTATGTAACCCCCAAGGTAGGTACCCAAAAATGTCAGGCCATTTGGTTCACCGTTTGACCAGCTAGCTATAGCTGAGATATAAATATAGATAGTGGACGAAGAGCTAAGAAAGAAAAGTTGTAAATCTGAATAATCTTCTAAAGAAAGCTAGGCAAACATTTTCTTTTGTAATTGTTGACTGATAAATATTATTTTTTTTTGTGCAAAATTTTTTTATGAAATTGGTTTTTCAAAAAAGTATCGAAGTATAATTGGATTTGTAAAGATAGCGCTTATTGTATATGAATAAAATCACCAATTTGAAAAAAAAAACTTAAAGGATAGCAAAATATAATTTGAATTTGTTGAAATTTAGATTAAAAAAATATTCATGATTCTTTAAGAGATAGTTTAGTTGCAAATTACAATATCTTAATCGACATTTTATAAAAAAGAGAAGATTGACGAGATTTCACTGTATTCCTGAACTAGGTGGAGGACCTGTTCACGGACCTGGGGGACGGGAGGAAGCTCTTGAAGCTTCTGGAGATCATCTCAGGGGAGAAGCTCGGCAAACCAAACCAGGGACATAATTAATAATGAAAAGTAGTTATTAAACCATCTCTCTTGCATCCGTGAATATCTTCTTGAAAAATCAGACACCACCTTTTCTGAACAATTATTTTTCTCTCAGAAGTTAGATATGAGGTTTTTTAAATTTGTTAGAGTTATCTTCGCTGTATTGGGGGAAAATAAATAATTTTTAGGGGGAAATAATTGAGTTAAGGGGGAAGTATCAAAAATGATAAAAAAAAAAATAAAGTTCTTTTTTCATTTTCCCTCCAATTTATCAAGTATCATTTCCCACCCCCTCCCCCCTGCGGTGGTGTAAGTCTTAATGTATACAGAACTCCCCTGCTCTCTTGTACGCCGGTTGAAGTAAATGAGATGTGGTTCAACTAAGTTTAAGTAGTTCAACTACATCTTACCATTTATTAAATTTGGTCGTGGTTCAACTAAGTCTTAGTAGTTCAACTACATCTCACTATTTATTAAATTTGGTCCCAGGGTAAGATGAGGGTTCACAGGATTGAGAATGTAAACAAGAGTCTTGCCTTCCTTCATACAAAGGTATAAAGAGCTTTTGATAAATTTAAATTTTAAGGGACTGTACGCGTAATTTCCAGTGACTTTAAGGGACTGCACGCGTAATTTCCAGTGACTTTAAGAGACTGTAGGCGTAATTTCCAGTGACTTTAAGGGACTATACGCGTAATTTCCAGTGACTTTAAATGTAAAATTGGCATAGCCCGATTCACAACAATACCCTTGATATAACCTTTGTTTGAGTAAAAATAAGGTTTAAAAGTGTTATAATTCTAATAATTTATTTATGTTTTCTTTCCTTGCATCAAGGGTCAATTGAAATTACGCTTTAGTTTCATCAATAATTCTCAATAAATATTAATTTACAAGAACGGGACTAAATTAGACCATTTTATTGCTCGTCTCTGCGGAAGAAATCCGGAAAGTGATCTCTAGATAATAGGTCCTTAATAGTATGCAGAGTAGGGGAGATAATAGTTCTCTACTTGTGTGCTCAGTTAGCGGTACTGTACACTTACAACTGTTTACTAATATTGATATACTATAAGTTAGGCCAGAATCTCCTTATAATAAACAAAAATGCATTACACTTTCGGTATAGTTTATAGCCTATACAATTAGTAAAGGATTAGCGTACATCAACACTCTATACCTCGTTGATACAGAGTGAATAACAAAGGTGTCTCCATCATCGAAAATCGAGCAGAGGACGTTAATGTACATAATACATAGTACATACAAACATTACTTTCCTTTCTGGAAAATCAATTCTATTTAGATTAACTTATTTAAAATCAATTGGATCGAATATCCATGTAGTTTAAATCAATTAAGTAGAACAAATTAGTTATATCATTAAACATGCTCTTAAAAACATAAAATTGATTTATCCGTTTCATTTTTAGACCATCCTAGCCATCAGTGAGATCTTTAAAACCTATTTGTGATTATAATTTAGGTTTATGCAAATTTGTTAATTGTTATGGTTCGTTTTTTTAAACTTTTTACTAAAATATCCAAGATTTCAAAACTGGATTCTGGTAAAGTTTGCAATATGGTTCTATTTTTTTAATAATCAATTTTAAAAACATCGGTTCTTCTTACACTGTGCCAAATTTTGACCTTGCTATAAAGGATAGTTTAAAAAACAACATGACTTGTTGTGAACAATCTGTTCAACTATTTCTCTGATTAAGGTTCGTCTGGAGAATATTGGTGCTGAGGATATTGTGGACGGAAACCCCAGGATGATTCTGGGTCTCATCTGGACAATCATTCTCAGATTTCAAATTCAGGTTTTTACTTTCCTTGTCTCCCCCCCCCCTCATCATTCTTAGATTTCAAATTCAGGTTTTTATTTTCCTTGTCTTCCCCTCCCCCCCTCATCATACTTAGATTTCAAATTCAGGTTTTTATTTTCCTTGTCTTTGAGGGAGGGAACCCCCGGACACCATGAGCCTCCGCTATACAGACACAAGCCTCCCATATTTGCTTGGCAGACCGAGCCTCCGCTATGCAGAAATGAGCATGCGCAATACATCAAAGATTTAAAAAAAAAATTCTACATAGTGGCATAATAGGTTTCTTAAAGATGAGAAGTATTTATCAATTATCAATAAATATTGCCTACTAATTATGACTAATAAAGTGGTTTATAAAACAAACATTTTTTACATGAAAAGGAAAATATTTACAGAAAAAAATTTAAATTGGATTTTATTCACTCTTTTATAACCTTCGATTGAACCGGTACCTTTTTTCGTAGTTCAAAATAAATCTAGAAAATATGTATCATTCATTTAGATCTTAACATTTTTCAAAAAAAAGGTATTGTTTAAATCAAAGATTACAACAAAACAAACTAAATTTACTCCAGAAATATTTCTCCAAATATCTGCCTTTCTGCGTAAGAAATGTTTAAAGTTTTAGTATAAATCTTATAAACCACTTTATGAGTCCAGAAATGTTTCTAATCATGACAATCAATAAATAACTCTTATCTTTAGTAAAATTATTATGCCACTACATCAAAAATAATTGTTAAAATTATTGGTCTGCATAGTAGAGGCTCTGTCTGTCTAGCAAATCTCGGAGGCTCGGGTCTGCGTAGCTCATGGCGTCCGGGGGTTCCTTCCCTCGTTTCCCTCTTTTCGACACTGTACTCCACACTACACTTTATAATCTTCACTATACAGTCCCTTTATGAATTGAATTTTTCTTACATATAACACTGCAAACGAGACAAAAGGAGATGGTAACATTTTTGCGATATCACTCATACGACCTTGTAACCTCGTAGCTCCTTAAGTTTTGATTTGTATCCGGGGACATTGAATTTACATATTATAAATTCAAAACATTTCTGTTCTTTTCAACAGCTCTCCAATAAGAGGATTGAGAATCCCCCCCCCTCATCATTCTCAGATTTCAAATTTTTATTTTCCTTTCCCCCCTTGAAGCCCTCCTTCAGCATCTTTCTTTTCTACACTGGGGTGAAAAAGATTATACCTAAATATCTTTCCTTGGGGAAATTATTCAAAATATTATTATTCCTGTTTTTTGCATCTCAGAATTCCTTCAGGTTAAAAAAAAAATGTGTTTTTTTGTTTTGTTATTCTTTGTTGTTGTACTTGCTTGGCTTGATATCTTTTAGCTCAGTTCTTATCTTGTCGTTAACTCTTCTTTTTTGCTGAGCTCTTATTTGATTTAAAGGGACTGTCAACATAATTTCATGTGAACCTTCATGCATGCCCAATAATCAACCAACTTCTTAAAATATTGAAGAAGTTTATAAAAAAAATATTTTAAATTGTGTGGTTTCTTTATAAAATTACTTGGGGATCTGCGTAAAACAACAATATCTTCCCCATTGGTTACAAGATTAAGGTTTAAAGGGTACCGTTTTGAATTGGACAGGTAGCTATTTTAATATTTTATCTTGAAAGAGCGTCGACACTCTACTCTACACTACACTTATTACTCTACACTCGACACTCCACTCGACACTCTATATTCTACACTCCGACACTCGATACTTGGCACTTTACAGTCCCTTTATGAATAGAATTTTTAATAAATATATCACTGCAAACGAGACAAAAGTAGATGGTAACATTTTTGCGATATCACTCATACGACTTTGTAACCTCGTAGCTCCTTGAGTTTTGATTTGTATCCGGGGACATTGAATTTACATATTATAAATTCAAAACATTTCTGTTCTTTTCAACAGGTCTTCAATAAGAGGAGTGAGAAGTGAAAACAAATTATTTCATTCTGACGTGAAATTCACTTTAGTTTGACGTGATAACAACTTTGTTCTCTCTAGGAAATTGAGATTAACGTGGATGAAGAGGATGAGAGGGAGGGATCTGTAAAGAAGTCAGCTAAGGAAGCTTTGCTCCTCTGGTGACAACGAAAATCCTCAATAAATATTAATTTACAAGAACGGGACTAAATTAGACCATTTTATTGCTCGTCTCTGCGGAAGAAATCCGGAAAGTGATCTCTAGATAATAGGTCCTTAATAGTATGCAGAGTAGGGGAGATNAATATTAATACCATTGCTATCATTATTTTATGACATCATAACCATTATTTTCAGTTAAAAAAAAAAATTATTTACCAAATTCAAATTGTCTAGGAAGTACTTTTTTTTTAAATGACAGTCTTTCCGTTTTGATATCGTACTTTTTTCATTTTATTTCTAGTGGTCTGTCTGTCTATCTATCTTTATTACAATTTATCTATCTAAATACCTGTATTTTTCATATTTCTCCTACTATCAGTCTAACTATCTATATATCGATTCATCTGTTTATGTCTTTTCATGTTTCTCACTCACTATGTATCTATATCTATCTATCTTCACATCTACCTACTTACCTATCTTCCTATATATATCTATATATCTACCTTTCTATCTCTCTATCTACATATCTTTCTATCTTTCTATCTGTCTAGAGTGATCAGATTGTCTTTTACTGTGCCTTGTATTGAAATTTTATTATGTTTCCGTGACTGAATACTAGTATTAGACAACTTATAATCCACCCTCACACCCTACATTGGGGGGGGGGGGTCGTCCTCCCTGACACTCAACAGGGGGGAACGAGAGGGGGGGATTCCTGATGTAAATGACCTACTCCATAAAGTGATCTAGAACCTGTATCTATCCAGGTGCAATTCAGTTTCACTTAGATATCAATGCATAACCCATGACCTATCGATGGTAAACAGACATTAGCTATTAATCGATCAAAGTCAAACCAATTGGCATGATATCGTCAGCTATTAATGTCAACACGGACACTAGCTATTAATCTATCAATGCCAAACCATTGGGCACGATCTCATGAGTTATCAATGTCAACCGGACTCTAGCTCATATCTATCAACGCCAAACCAATGGGCGGATTTCGTCAGGATCTTCTCAACTATCGATGTCTACATGAACACTAGCTCTATTAATCGATCAATGCCAAACAGATGCGCACGATATCAGCTTGCATTTCTTAACGAGAACCAAATAACTATCTCGCAGCAATCAAATCCTAGTTTCTCTATCAACTATGTATATTTCTTCATGTCAGATTAGAGTTAGGTATTAACAGGTAATCACAAGTTATGCGCTGTTATATATAACGTAGTTAAGCAATCACAATATGTGTATGACGGAGTTATATATATCGAGGTATCTAGTATATTTCTTCATGTTAGATAAGAGTTAGGTATTAACAGCATAATTACAAGTTATGCGCTGTTATATATAACGTAGTCAAGCAATCACAATATGTGTTTGACGGAATTATTTATATCGAGGTTTCTAGATTGGTTTAATCGCAATACATTTACGTATCTACTAAAGAAAACATCTAGATTACATTCAACAGTGAGAACTAGGGGTTTCTTACCTTTGAAATTTAAAGAATTTAGAAGGTTTTGAAGGCCATTAAAGATCGTTTAACTCAAAAATTATATTTTACACCAAAAACAAATATAAAAAATCATCGTGACTTTACAAGCTAGAAGACCTTTCTCCAACCCTGATCTAGTTTTATTCTCTTCAAATTCTGGAAGGGGAATGAGGGCACCCTGAGAGTCTGATGATAAGGCAATGATTATTCTAATTTTCTAATCCCTATATCTTTGCAACCTGATTTTTCGATGTTTCTACCTCTGACTCCTATCTATGACATCTTTATGCAAAGATATAAGGATTGGAAGAGTAAGGAGTGTTTCTAAATCTGTTAATTTTTCAGGAATGTTGATATTCAGAACTTCAGTTCATCCTGGCAAACTGGACTTGGGTTCAATGCTCTTATTCATCATCATAGACCAGGCATTAATTCATTTACTCATTGATTAATTGATTCATTGATTCATTGATTAATTGATTCATTGATTCATTGATTCATTGATTCATTCATTCATTCATTGATTCATTGATTCATTAATTAATTAATTCATTCATTCATTCATTCATTCGCTTATTCATCCTTTCACGCATTCATTCATTTATTTACTTATACATTCTTTCATTAATTCTTTTTATTCTCTAAATACAATCATGAATTAGATAATTTCATAATATTTTAAAATTATCAATTATTGTAATTTTGTTAAAAAATGTTTGTTTTTAATTCTTAAAAGATTCATTAAATATCATTTTTTTCAAGGACTTAATTCTAACCTTTGTAGTAGACAGTAGACATTTTTCTGCCACAAATGAGTAAACACAATACTTAATTCAATTTTTTTGTTTGATGAATGCTTACTTTGATAGATCTTATCAACTTCAACAGCCTGCGGCCCGATGATCATCTTCAAAACCTCAGGTATTAACATTCATTATCTAAAAAGAAACATGATTTTTAAATTATGAAATATTTGAAATAATATAAATTATTAGTAAAAAAATATCATATCAAAAAATCTTGTATTGTTAAATTCATCTTTAATTTAACTGATATTTCTTTAAAAATAAATAACATTTTGTGGTTTTGTTTTTTGCGGAAGATATAATTCTAGTTTTCCCAGATGAAAATTATTGACTAATTTAGTATGATTCATTTAAAATTAAAGAGTGTTTTTCAATTATCTTACCTCAAGATAAAAAAAAATAGAATCAAAAACAAAAAAATGGTATGAATGCTTTTTTTTAGTATTTTAAGATGCAATTTAAAAAAGAATGCTTTTCTAGTATTTCCAGAACAGATATTAATAAATGTTTAATTAGAAATTTAATGTAAATATTATGGAAAAGAGAATGTAGTGAAAATTATCTTTCCTAAAAAAGGAGCATTTGGAGTATTTAGTTAAATCTTTGCAACTCTTAAAACCAAGCTTTATTTTTAATCTAGTCATTTTAAATTTGAAGTATAGACGAAGAACATCCCTAAAAGTCTGATTAAATTTGTGCTAATCTTGTTCAGACCTGATGAGAAATCTGTGATTACTTATGTTGCCTCGTACTACCATACCTTCTCCAAGATGAAGGCTGGAGCCACGGGAGGGAAGAGAATTGGTGAGTTTAGTTAAATATTTTACCACTAGGTGTCTCTGCAGTTGTAGTTAATTTCCTCTTCGTTTTGAACAAAGACAAAATACGGTTCCTATTTATTTATCAATATAAGAAAGTTCTTCCCACATAAATGTATGTTAGCAATATTTATAAATTATTTATCTATATATAAAAGTAAAGGCTGGACCAAATTTGTTAAATTTTTTGGAAACCCATGGCTACCCTGGGGGTAAAAAATGTTGTTTTGAAATTCCACGTTTACTTCATTTAGTGTATTAAAATTTTGCTAAGAAGCCTATGTAGAATTGTTTGTTTAAAACTAAAAATTTGATAAGATCTGATGAAATTGAAAATTGTTTATTTTAGGGAATATAATTTCCAAGATCCGAGATATTGAGTCCCAGCAAAACAGGTGATTTTGGGGCGTAAACGAGGGGGGTAGGGTGGTTAAGCCCCCCTGAAATGTCTGAAAAGGTTAGGATTCCCCCTCTACAAATTTTTTTCGCGCGGGGAGTTTTATGTTTTAGAAAAATAATTCCTTGCCCCTACTTTGTTATAAATTTGTTCACTTAACATAATTGGAGGTACTTGCTTAATTGGGATACATCAAATTTTTTGGATTTGAAATATTTAAAAGATGGAAAAAGATGTTTTTTTGGTCTTGATCTAGAAAGAATTTCAAGCAATAACTTGTCTTAACTTTTAGTTTTAGATATTCTTTCTTCTTAAAATTAAACTCTTCGGGATTTATTTAAGAATATATTAAATAACTATTGTGTGTAAGTAGATGCTTCTACTAATACTTTTTTTGCGTCACAACATCAGATACTGTGCACAAATTATTCGTAACTGAAATTCTTTTTATAAGTTTCTCTCCTTAATTTCATTGTCAAAATTTATTTATTTCAAGATTATTTTTGTGGTCGTAGGATGTCCCTAAAAATCTGATTTGATTTGATTTAATTATCTATTTGTGGCAAGGTTTGAGACGTATAGTACTGAGCTGTTGGTCTGGATCAGGGGAAAGATTGGGGAAATCAGGAAAAGGGATTTCCCCAACTCTCTGGACGGTATTCAGATGTACTTCAAGAAATTCAAGGTGGGATTTATTCAGTTTTGAATTTTATTTATTCTGTGATGAACTTGATTGGTTGATTGAATGATTGATTGATTGATTGATTGATTGATTGATTAATTTTTTGTTTTTTATTTATTGTGATTTCTAGGACTACCGAATGATTGAGAAGCCCCCAAAGTACCAGGAGAAGGTTGAGGTTGAAGCAAACTATTTTGATATTCAGATCAAACTTCAACAGCTTCGGCAACCTCCTTATGTTGCCCCTGAAGGTCAAAATTAGTTTTTTTTGTCAAAATGTATTATTCTAAAAAGATGGTTACACTTAAGCATGGAGGGGGAAGAAGGAGAAGGAGGATGCAAAAATAAATCCAACCCCTCCCTTGCCATTTTAAGTTTGAGTTCCCCCTTTTTAAATAACATATATAAAACATAAAATTATGGGGAAAGGTATTTTGAAAGTCGGAATGGTACCACCCTCTAAATGAGTGGCTAAGACAAAGAGGAAGACGACGTTGTTTTTTATCTAACAATTTCCTTAAATAAAACCACAATTGAAAATATTTTTTTCCCCAAGAGATAACGAAGGACATCTTGTTCATACCCGCACAGACAAATATTTAAAGGGTACTGTTTTAAATCTGACATGCCCTGTTTATAAATACTGTTTTGAATCTGACATGCCCTGTTTATAAATACTGTTTTGAATTTGACATGCCCTGTTTATAAATACTATTTTGAATCTGAAATGCCCTGTTTGTAAATACTGTTCTGAATCTGACATGCCCTGTTATGAATACTGTTTTGAATTTGACATGCCCTGTTTATAAATACTGTTTTGAATCTGACATGCCCTGTTTATCATGCTGTTTTTAATCTGACATGCCATGTTTATAAATACTGTTTTTGAATCTGACATGCCCTGTTTATAAATACTGTTTTGAATCTGACATGCCCTGTTAATAAATGCTGTTTTGAATCTGACATGTCCTGTTTATAAATACTGTTATGAATCTGGCATGCCCTGTTTATAAATACTGTTTTGAATCGGATATGCCCTGTTTAAAAATACTTTGTTAAATCTGACATGCCCTATTTATAAAAACTGTTCTAAATCTGACATGCCCTGTTTATAAATACTGTTTTGAAACTGACATGCCCTGTTTATAGGGTCACTTCAAATTACATCTACAGCTCTTTTAAGGAGAAACATTATTATTAATTGGTTGGGTTTGTAAAAAATCTTTAATGGTTTGGGGATGAATATGTATTGGATGGATTATGGTTTGATTGATTGATTGATTGATGCAGGTCAGCGTCCGCATGATATAGAGCAGGCGTGGCAGGAACTTGAGAAGCAGGAGTACCTGAGGGAGGTCGCATTGAAGGAGGAGCTCCTGAGGCAGGAGAGGTTGGAACAACTGGCTTACAAGTTCGAGAGGAAATCTGTTCTCAGAGAGGGATATCTTAACGAGATGATCCAGGTAAAGGTTTTAGGTTCTCGTCAAGATCTATGTTTTCGATAATGTCGTGTTATTTTATTTTATCTGAGATCGGAACTTTAGTGAGGAGTATTGGTAATCTTGAACAATTGATCTCAATATCCAATGAGGACACTTTACTTGTGAACCAATACATTATCCTTTAATTTAAGTTATCTCTGCAGGGTTTGCTCACCACAGGTTAAATTATTCAGGTTCTCTCTGACCCCCGGTACGGATCCAACCTGAACCAAGTCCTGGCCTCGGTTAAGAAGCACGAGGCTATCTCTGCTGACATCTTGTCCCGGAAGGATAGGTTCCTGGACCTCAAGAGCATGTGTGTCCAGCTTGAGAAGGAGAACTACCACGCCAAGGAGGAAATCACAGCCAGGGAGAAGCAGATTATGGAAAGGTAAAATCATTATCATCTTTGATTTTGTTGCTATTAATGCTGTCATGGATGTTACTTGTCTACAAAGTAATCATTAGCACCAATGTAAATAATGACCTCAATGTTGGTCACCATTGTCATTAACGTCTCCATTTACATTTTTGTGATCATAGTCGTTGTGGATTTTTTCATCATTGTCTTTATTTTGTCCTTGCTGTCATCATTGTCTTAGTTATCGGCATTGTCATCATCGACATCAATATCGTCATTATTGCTTTTAATTTTATCATTCATCATTCATGTCTTTCATTGTCATATGCTTCGTCTCTCTTCTTAGCCATCATTATCATTCTTAGATGCATATGATTTTGAATTTTCTTTATTAGGTGGCAAGAACTGCTAGATCTGCTCAAGGTCCATAAGGATAAGCTGGAGAGAAGTAATGCTGTGATTAACCTGGAGAGAGAGATTGATACCCTAACCTTAACTATCCAGCTTCTCCAGGTATACAATACTACTTTGTTTTTTTTCCATAAATTAAAACTGGCAACCCCAGGCGTGGTTATACACATATCGTTCAGGTGAAGTACTGATAGGTATGAATACCCCCAGTAATTTTCTTTAAAAAAAAAAATACTATTAACTATGAAGCCCAAAAGTATGCGCTGTATATTTTAATTAATTTTCATTAGGTCTATTTTTCTATCCCTGGACCCGGATCCAAGGATGCTGTTGCTGATTTGGATGAATAGTATTAACATACTTCTGGTTCTACTTATTATTCCCTTTTCTAAGCTGGGATGTTGAACCAAATTACGTAATTTTTGGTGTACTTATGTAATCATATATTTTTCAAGTACCAATTCTCATTATTTCCTGGTCTTATCTGAGATGAGTTAAAATACCAATAATAATTATTCAGTAATTTGTTAAATTATGTAAACAAATACTTGAAGGCATGCCAATTCTTCTCTTGTCCAGGCTGAAATGAGTTCTGATTCTACCAAATAAACCAGATTATGTAATTTATACGTAATTATTAAGTAATTTAACATTTCAGTTCTTATAACCAGATTACGTAATTGTTACGTAAATTCTTTTTTACGTAATTAGACACTTAATTCATATTAATTCCTATTATTTTTCTTGTCCAGGCTTATATGGGTTCTGATTAAAATCAGATCATGTAATGTATACGTATTTATTCTGTAATTTACCTTTTGATAATTATTATTCCCTTGTCTAGGCTGAAATGAGTTCTGATGCTGGAGTTCTTCACCTTCTTGATGTACAGGAGAAACTACAGAAGTTTACTCTGCAGGAGTCCCAGGTATATTTTCTTGGCCCCTCTAACATTAGTTGGCAAGTTTTGTTAAAATATTCAAAAAAATCAGAAATAACATATCTTTATAAAAAATAATATATGAAATAAAATCTCAAACCCAAATCTGAAAAATCCCAAATCCAATGATTGATACTTGATCAACAGTAAACATTTGTTTTGAATCTTCATGACAGAAACAATCTCAAGAACTGACGAGTGTCAAACCAGACCTAAATATATTTTCAAAAATGTGGAACTAACTCCTACTTTCTCTATGAGCTTTAGATCATCATTAAAACCAGAAACAACATTTTAACCTTTTAAAACTGATCCAGGTGAACGCTATGGCTGAGACTATTAGAAAAGTCCAGAAGCAAGGTAAACTTCTGGACTCTACTCCGGATACTCCAGGATCCACCCCAGTCCGTCCTATACAGAATAAACTCCAGGAGTTGGATACCAACTACAAAAACCTTCTGGAGATGTCCAGGTTGGTTTATGACCTGATGTTTGCTTATCAGACATATTTTGATTTTAATTTTTGTTTGATTTTGAGTTTCAAAGATTTTAATGAGTTATGATTTAATGTTACATTTTTCATGAATTTTTTTTTCATAAATTTGATATAATTTGGTTGATCTTTACATTAAAGCTCTTGTTAGCCTTAGCTGGCCAAATGGCTGGATCAAATTTGCTGACATGGGCTGAAAAAAAATCTTTCTTTTTTTTGTTTTCACTGGCAATGCTTGGCACTACAGCTAGTTTATAATTATTTTAATAGATAATGATTCATTTGACTCGTCTTTTATTTTGGTATGATTAATTGATTTATTTGATTCAATTGATTTAATTGTTTGGACAGCTTCAATGGCTTCAATTCTTTCAATTGGTTCCGTTTCTCCTATTGGTTCAATTGGTATAATTGGTTTAATTGGTTCAATTACATGGTTTAATTGCTCCAATTAATTTAATTGATTCTTGTTTAATTTTGAATTGACTGATTGATTGATTGTTTGATTGACCTCATGTTCAGAAAGAGACAGGGCTACTTGGAGGACTGTCACGCCTTCTACCAGCTGGTGCAGGATCTGGAGGAGGAGGGACAATGGGTTGATGAAAAACTATCTGTCTGTACTGCAACCATTCAAGCCAAAGGTAAACAAGCATAAACTGTACTGCAAACATTTAAGCCAAAGGTAAACTGTACTGCAACCAATCAAGTCAATGATTAACCGCACTGCAACCATTCAAGCCAAAGGTAAACTTTACTGCAACCATTCAAGCCAAAGGTAAACTGTACTGCAACCATTCAAGTCAATAAACTGTACTGCAACCATTAAATTCAAAGGTAAACTGTACTGCAATAATTCAAGTCAAAGATAAACAAACAAAAACTGTACTGCAATGCAACCATTCAAGACAATAGTAAACAAGGATGTTAGGGATGTAATTTGTTCAATTAATTACATCAAAAAATACAAAATTTTGTTAATAAACGAAAAGCCTTAAAAACTCTTCCAGATTATATTATATTAATAATTTATTTGAACACGTAAAGTTTCTGAATATTTTAACCCTGGAACCACTTAAATGTGTAAACTTTTAGATCTGCGTGCCCTGACCAGTCTTCAACAGAAGCATAAAGGACTCCTTGATGAGATGGAAAGAAGATATTCCAGGTATTGATCTGAAGGTTTTAATCTTTAGGTTGCTCAGGATCATGAAGCTTTGATAATCTCTTTTTTAAATCATGATTTTAACGATCAATAGTAACAAGTCGATGCTCGAAATAAAGATCTTGATGTTAAATATTAGGATCATGTTAAAAGCAGAAGCATTGAGTAAACATCAGAGGATGATTATGCTTTTTATCAAGAAATGTATGCTACACGTCAGAATTATGATCATAATACATAACATGAGGATCATGATGATCAATATTATGACAGTTTTCCTTATCGCAAGAATGTCATCTAAGTATTGTTAATTCTTAGGTTTACAACTGGACCAATGAGCAGTGCTGAAGAGATGATTGCTGCCGGGCATCCTGATCATCAGCAACTTCAGCAGCGTTGTCAAGCAACTGCAGCTAAGTGGAAAGCTCTTCAGACAGAAGCTGCAAAGTAATTAAGTTTTTGATTAATTTATAGAGTTGCAAGTTCATTTTACAATGGTACTCTTTAAATCTCTATATAGGTAACAGTTGGGAAGTTTTTGTCCATTTTTATCTTAGAACATGTTGAATACGGACAATTTATTACATTGTCTTTGTAGTAGAAATCCACAAGTCAACTCATGTAAAAACTGCAATTGAACATAATCAATTTTTCGAGAGAAAAGAAGAATATCCTTAATCAGACCAATGTTGTTATTTAGACATGCCACTCTATAAATGTAGGGTCACTGGAATTTAGGTCTAAAAAGAAAATTTTATTTTTGATCAAAACCGTTGGCAATCCGTAAAAATAAGGTTTAAAATGAGCTTGAAATCCTGCACGGAAAATTAGAAGTTCATGACTATTAAAACATCCAAGTATGACTAAAAACCACAATTTGCGACTTTAGTAAAAATTAGATTCATTTTTAGTTTTCTGCATCAAATTGAGAGAATTGAATGGGATTTTTTTTAAATAATAAAATTGATGTTAAGGAGACGTGCTACTCTGGATTCCAGTACTGAAGCCTATGTTTTCTTCTCAGATTGTAATGAAACTGACAGCGTAATTAAGGTAAAATTAATTAGGATTCAATTTCAACTTGTGCTTTTTACTAGTTCAGGGGAGAAAAGTACTAGCCCGTGATTTGGCCCAGATCTGACACCGAGTTGGAACTTTTGTCTCCTGCATTTAAATGAATTAAAAAAAATATTGTTTTGGTGTGATTTTTGATTTTAAATTCTGATTAAAGTTTGTTTGTTCAGGAGTGTACGACTATCGCCAAATCTAAGGATTTTGGTCAGGACAAGCTGACCGCTCTCTCTCTTCTTCAGAGACACAGGCAGCTTAATGATAAAATACAGGTCAGTCGAGAACAAATCTTAAATCTAAAAAAGAAGATTTTTTTCATAAAATCAAAATTTAAGATTTTTATTTTACAACAGATTCAATGTGTTATGATTCCTCATTTTTCAACACTTGAGAATTGTGTTGCAAGATCAAAAATAAATTCTGATACTTTGGTAGATCTTTTATATAATAAAAAAGTGTTTTTAAAAATGTTGTTTATCCTTAAAACATATGGCTTCAAAAAGCATGGTATTCATATGTTGACTATGAAAGAGCACATAGGCCGAGCCTTCATTCCCTGCTTAGAGTCTTCGGATTCATAATATATGTTTTGGTTTACAACAAAACCAGCCCCTGAGCTGTCCTAATACGTCACAGTGAATTGGAAACATCTCATTGATAACTTCTATAGTTACCCATATTTACAACAAAACCAGTTCTTGAGCTGTCCTAATACGTAACACTAAACAATAAACAGACCATATCCCCATGTCCTCAGTTCCACTTTCATTGGTAACTTCTATAGATTCCCATATTTACAACAAAACCAGTTCTTGAGCTGACTTAATACGTCACACTAAACTGTAAAGAGATCATATCCCCATGTCCTCAGTTCAACTCTCATTGGTAACTTCTACAGATTCCCATGTTTGCTATTAAAACAGCTCCTGAGCTGTCCTAATACGTCACACTAAATTGTAACCCGTATTTACAAACTAGCTTGGGAACCTTGTGTTGCCCAGGTTACTCATAGTTACTCCCGCTGTTTACCCGCACTTGGTCGTAAATAACGATTTTAGCTTCTTTTCCCTTTAAAGTCGACTTATTCAACTTAGAATCCCAAAGGCCAAAACCATCTAAAGAAAATTCCTGTGGGCCTTCCAAGTTCCATAATCAAAATTTGAGGCAAATTGTTCTAGGGGTTCATGAGTTATGATCGGACATAAAAAACAATTACTACTTTTTCTAGAGTATTGCTGTTGATGTAAGACGGGTTGAAGAGAACGGAGCTAAGCTCAAGAACTCCCAGATCAGTGAGGAGGCTCTGTATATATCTGCAGACCCTAGCAAGCAGCAGACTAGTCCGGAGAAGATGGTTCCTGTAGAGGTCTGGGAGGATGAACCCTTCGAGAGAACAGAAATACAGAAGGTTATCGAGGACAGGAAGGTTCCTCAGGTGGGTGTTCTTGTTCCTTATTTATTTAAAATTTAAAGGAACTTTAAGGATAATTTCTAGGAAACTCCATGCTAAGATGGCAATGCCCGATTTAAAACGGTTTACTTTAAAAGCTTTGTCTGATCAACCATGAATTATATATCCATGTTTTTGTTTCTTTTAATTGTTTATTTTCATTTGCGGTTTCTTTGCGAAAGAGGAAAGTGACTTGCGCATTTATTGCTTTTCAGAAGCAATGGTGAAATTATTAGAATTAAATACTTAAAAAATGAGGTAAATGAGTATCTTCCACATGTTTATCTGATAAGGGTTTCAAGGTCTGAGGGTGACCTTGGACCTTGCATGGATGGTCACTTGAATTGCTTTTATTTTTTTAAGTAGTCCCTCAAGCTTCCTTATCATCTTGAAGTCGCCCCTAACCCAAATATCCCTGTGCTATTACGTAATCTGTTAAATGCTCTGTAGTCTGTAATCTATCCGTTTACTTGTTCCTGAATTTGATTTGGATATTTTTTACTAGTTTTATTTTATAGATTGCTGAAAATCGTTGTTCCTACAAATTCCTCGGATTTTTAATCCCTAAATCTTTTCAATTCGATGCCGTAGCCTTTTGATATTTCAAACTATGAATTTTGTTAAATAAAATAAGTTTGAAATATCAAAGGTTTAGGTTGCAAAGATATAGGGATTAGAAAATTTGAGTTTGTAACAAAGATCAATTCTTTAGCCTAGTAAAAGTAGTCACAAATCGTCCAGTAATTGTCTTTTAGTCTTAATGAATTGCCTCAAATAACTAGGTGAAAGCTCTATACCCGTATACCGGACATGGTATTGATGTAAAGAAGGGGGAGACCATGTTCCTCTTGGATAAAACTAACGCGGACTGGTGGAATATCAGGTTCAACTAATTAATATCTAGATGTATGTAGTAGTAATCTTTTTTGGTTTGCACAGGGTTACCCATCAAGGATGAGACTGTAAAGACGACCTGAAACTTTAAAATATGACGATTTCAAGGTTAAATTAGTAATAATTGAATATGGTCTTTCCATGGCTTCTTTAATTATTTGGCAAAGAAAGAAACAAGTTTACAGTTGCAGGGAATCATGAATATAAGATAATGGACAGTGTAAATTCTGTACAGTCGTCTCTGAAGTCTCATCCTTTATGGGTAACCCTGTATATCTGATCAAAACTTAGAAACCCCTTGACCGATTTGCCTCAAAGATAGGTGAACTCGGTAGAACCAAGTGAATGTTCTTAGCTTAATTAAAAATTCGTAGTTGAGTTGGTTGACTTGTCTTGTATGGGAAAAGTTTAAATTGGCAGGCATAGCTGGGTTCCCAAGCTAGTATTGCTATTTTGTAAAAAATGATAAATAGCTGGGTTCCCAAGCTAGTATTGCTATTTTGTAAAAAATGATAAATAGCTGGGTTCCCAAGCTAGTATTGCTATTTTGTAAAAAATGATAAATAGCTGGGTTCCCAAGCTAGTATTGCTATTTTGTAAAAAATGATAAATAGCTGGGTTCCCAAGCTAGTATTGCTATTTTGTAAAANCCCCCCCCCTCCTCCTCCATTCTTTTTGCACCTCTGATGAAAAAATCAAAAGTGACCGAATTTAATGAATTGGAAAGAGCTGAACTACCTACTGCCGATTCAAATCTTCATGAATCGTTAACTCTGCGAAAGATAGTTGAGCTACCTAGTTTAGTTTCATTACATTCTGTCCCTGGTGAATTAATTAAAAAAAAGAATAATAAGATAAAATAATTTTTGATGAAAAATTCAAATTTAGAAAAGCTAATGGAGAGAATGGATTTGTTCCAGCTAACTATGTCAAGGTGAATATATTTTCTTTTTATCTAAACCATTCATTGTTCATTTTGATGCGGTATTCGAATCCGGAGTTTGGATCCACAATGGGAATAAATTGATCCGGATCCAAATAAACTGATTTTTTGAAAAAATGAATGAAAAAAATTTAAAAAATTCTTCTTTTTTGCAAATTTTTTTTGCTTAAACTTGAGAAAGACATTCTTAATAATTTCTCATTTTTCAACAGTTGAGATTCGTGTTTTGAGAGCTAAAAGTTTTTGGTTGATATTTAGTCTATTAGTTCCGGATCCGTGGATCCGCATATTTTTGCGGATTCAGATCTTAAGCACTGCATTAATTCAAATTCAGGCTAAAAGAAAATGTCGACGTATTTAAAGTTCACAACGGTACACAAGGAGTAAGCGAGACAAGATACAACTGACGCGACCCGCCCTACCATATGATTATGCAATATGCATGCTTTGTATAAGAAATATTCTAAATAGGTTATTGTATACGCGGTAATTGTACATCGACAAATATTTCTTGTTCAAATGAAGTACCGTCTGCAAAGCATGCATAATTATATGGTAGGGCGGTCCGCGTCCGTTGTATCTCCCTTCTATTCCATACTCCTTGACGGTACACCATAATCCTTTGTCTAATTAAATATAATGAAAACAACCATGTTTATACACCTGTTTGTAAAATCTCAAAGAAAATTATGAAAAATGAAATTAGTAAACGACAATATCTTCCTTATTTCACTCGGCTATAAGGAATTGTAAGCAAAGTTTCAGGTGACCATAGAGGACAATGCCCGATTTTTAACGATACACTTAAAGGGAGTGACCGGCAATGTTTGGTTGTTGAACTGAGAATGTAGCATTTTGGAGAATTTTTTTAGGATTCATTTGAGACGTATAAAACGTTTTAATGATATATAATTACTGAGTTTGAGCGCAAAGTCGACCTTCAAATCATCCATTTGGGTGGTTACGTGAAAATTGATTTTTTTTAAATTATTAAAGAACGACCATAAAAAATGTACCAAACATTCTACATTAAACTAATTAGTTGGTCAGGAACAGGTTGAGAAAATAAAATTGAACTAAGTAATCTTATTCAGTGTTTCTGTAATGTCTCATTATTCTCAAACATTTTCTCTAGGTTTTCTGAATTTTTTATTGAAAAGAAGACATTTGATGATTTTGTAGAAATCTGCGAACAAATCCTTAAAGAATAAGAAATTCAATGTAATGATGAAAACAATAATTGACATTAATTTATTGACATATTTCTATTGAGAAATATGTTCCTAAACATATAATTGCCAATTGGTGGATGATTTTGAACGTCGACTTTTCACTCAAACTCAGAAATTATATATCATTAAAACGTTTTATACGTCTGAAATGAATCATAAAAATTTTCTTTACAATCTTACATTTTCAGTTCAACTACCAGACATTATCGGTCAATCCCTTTTAAACCTTTGTGTCTTCGTCGAGTACACATATATGTGTGTGTGTAAACTTGGCGAACCCTGCTTGTATTTAGCTGTGTTGAGTTCATACTGTACACATCTCACACTGTACGCAGCAAAATACAAGGCAAGCGGGTTTCGATAAGGTTAAACACACATATCTCTGTACTCGACGAACGCATGGTAGGTCACTTGAAATTACGCTTACAGTCCCTTTAGAATTTAAAGGGTACCGTTTTGTGAAATCGGAAATGCAATTTCTTAAACAGGGATTCCTTGAAATTATGTAAATATATATTTTCTTCTTCTTTTTGTTCATTTAGCTTAGCATTGTACCAAGTATAATGCTTTAAGTTAGTTTAATCTTAATCTTTATCCCATTATCTTTCAGTTTATCTTTACTTCTATCTATTTATTAACTTATACATTTAGCATTGTACCAAGTATAATGCTTTAAGTTAGTTTAATCTTAATATTTATCCCATTATCTTTCAGTCTATCTTTATTTCTATCTATTTATCAACCAATACATCTAAAAATAGCATAAGTGTGTCTGTCTATCTATCATTATATCTATATATCTATCCATCTATCTATCTTTTTAATTATCTACCTACCTAATTATTTATCCATCTATATTTATTTATTTATATGCCTGTGTGTATGTCTGTCTATCTAACCAGCTATCTATATCTATATCTATCTAACCTGCTATCTATATTTATATATATATATAGACGAAAAAAAGGAATTTGCTATTTAATTTACAATTGCACACTTACATCTTCTCATATCTATCTACCAAACTAATTATCTATTCATCTATCTGTCTGTTTCTGTCTATCTATCTATCTAACCAGCTTTTATATATATATCTATCTAGGAAGTAGAACCCAAGGTAGTAGCTGTTGAAGTGAAGAAAGCTGTGGTTGTCAAGGATACAAGGAAGGTCAAGAAAGTTCAATATGTCAAGGAGGCCGGTCAGTCAAATGCACAGAAATCAGGTAAATTATTATTATTATTATTATTATCAGTATCATTCTATTAACATTGATGAAAATAAGAAAAATTTGTAAAAAAGAAAAAGAAAAAAGTGTTAATCAAAAATTTAAAAAATGACTAGAAATAACTCTTGAATTTATTGTACAGCCTCATCTTGGTTGTACATATGGCTGGCAGCCTGTAAGTTTGTTTTTATGTACACAACTTGCACAGTACTTAGAATGTATATAACACACACATAAATAAAAAGCTCCACAGTACTTAGGATATGTCAGCTGTGAAGACTCTCAAGCTAAGCATTAAAGCTGTAAATGGGTTATTTGATAAAAAAAAATTTGGAAGACACAAGTCTAAGTCGGGTCTAACTTTAACGACGAAGGGGGATAGTTAGACTCGATTCTAAATCGCAGCCTTAAAACCCCTACTCTTTTATGATTCAAAATGTCGAATTTTTTTATCTTTAACCATCCATAAACTTTCCCTGGGGTCATGTGAGTTGCCAAACAAAAAATGTTCACTTTTGCTGAAGCTGTTTTGAAGTTTATTGAAAATATACAAACGAACTTAAACATCAATATAAGCAAAAAATAAAGATTAATTATTAGATTTTAATGATATTATGATAAAATAATATTGGTTATTCCAGGGGGCTGAGGTACAACTATTAAAGTAATAAAGGTAGTCTAAAGCCTAGTTAAGTCGGAAACATGAAAGTTGTTATTAAAATAACGAGCAATTAATTGCATGATGTACTTTTAAGAACTTGACTGTCTCCGACTGTATTAAGATATTCTTTTTTGTTGTAACTAGAGGATTAAACCAACAATTTGTAACTAGAGGATTAAACCAACAATTCTTTTCTTTCTTAAAAAGAATATCTTTTTTTCAGTTTTATCAAGGGCTTTACGTTATATTAAGTTTATTATTATTTTTTTAGGTTTAGTTAACGTTGATTTGGTTAAATTTTTATTTAATTTATTGCTTGCTTCATTAGTTTCCTTGTTTTTCAATGTATTTGTTAATTTAAAATGAAATCTCAAAAAATTGCAAATTGTGTAATTTTTTTGCTGGCACATTAAGATATAACTTTTATCTACTTTGTCTTTTTTCATTCTTGCAAATTAACAGAAATTTTAAGATTCCTTCATTTTACTATTATTTAAAATTTCCTATTTTTCAACATATATTTAACCTTAAAGTAAATATTAGTCAAAAGGTAGCTTAAAATTTATTGAGTTGAGTCCTACCATTTCTTACTTTCTATGTATAGAGATTTAATGATTCCTCTGGTTTGCACTTTTTTGTCATAAATTTACATTTTTAGTTTTCATTGTGTATTATTTAATTTAAAGAAAACTCAATCGATGGCTTCAAATTGAATAGTAATAATCTTATCTCCTTTTTTCTTCCGTTAACATATCCGAATTATTATTATTTGATTATTATTTCTCCTTTCCAAATTATGTAAGAAATTACATATTTAAAAAATCCTGTTAAATTAGAAAGACTCTTTTGAGATTTCTGGATAATGAAATGTTTTCTAAATTTTATGATTTATCAGGGAAGGAGATCATTAATGAACGGCAGAAGGCGATTGTTGACAGCTATTCAGTTCTGCAAAACCTTAGTAAAGAGCGTCAGCTTGTTCTGCAGGTTCATCAAAATTCGATCTTCATTAAATTTTTGAAAATTTTGAAAATCCACGAAATTTTGTGTGAAAATCCGCAAATTATTTTTGTTTTGTTTTACGATGTACACAAAGAGAATATGTTCACAATTAATTTAGAAGATGGGCGCGAAGCGCTCTCTAAGGCTAGTATCAATAAATATGACAATTTTTTATATTTATAAAAACACCATCTAAATTTCCGATTTTACTGACAGGCCAATTTTAAACGTGGGAGGAATTTTGGTTTGGTTTGGTTTGGTACAAATGGGTGCAGGGTGCAAACAGAGTGTTTCAATATACATTATATATGGTCCAAGTAAAGGAAGGCTTGTATACAGTGATAACCAGAAAAGTAAAGTATTTGATTATGTTACAAAGCAAATTAAATTACTTATAGAGTGAAATGGTTCTGTTTACACTACACAATTACTGTGTCGCATGCTCATTGGACTTTTCAAAGTCATTATTTGAGTTTTAAAGTCGTCTTCCTATTCCAGAGTTTTCTGGTTATCACTATATCCATTTTGGAGNCCAAATGCTAAGTAGTAGCACCATGAATCGCCATATTTTTGTTTACAGCTGAATTGTACGGGAGTTCCTTGGAGGAAAACACATTTGTTTGTTTACATTCCTCCAGAATCTACAGTACGCTACTCAAAATTATAAAGTTTTCTGGTGTACCCTACTTGACCTAAACAAGTGTACGCCAATTTTTGGGAGGGATATAAACAACCCCTAGCCTGAAAGAACCATTTGTTTGTTTACATTTAGGCGTTATTTCAGTCTAACTGGACCATTTTTTGGGGCTTTAATACAAAAACTCTAAATTTTATTGTGATTCATCTAGCGTTGAGATTTCTAACTTAAGAACTGTCTCCAGGTTGGCGAGTATAGATATAGCGTGCCGTGAGCTGGAGATAATATTCCCGGATCTTAAGAACGACATTGTTAGCAAGCAAAAAGAAACACACAGGTAATTGTGACCCCCATGTTAAATGTACAATGTACAAAATAAAATGAAAAACATTAAATAAACTGGTATGTCCGATCCACCACAGTACCTTGTTTGATCACGGTGAGATACTTATTTTTCTTGCAAAAATAAATTACTTTTAATCGTGGTTTCTCAATTAAAGTGTTGCAGAGCCTATGATGGAAATTGTCCGAATTCAACCCGTTTTAGAAAATAAACGATAAATCTTCCTCATTGTTACTCAGACAGGTTTAGAGGGTATCTTAGTGTCTTTTTCAAGCGTCGGGTCACTTAAAATAACATCTACTGTCCCTTAAATATACTCCCATCAAATAATAATATTTAAAGAAAGGCTCAGTTTCAATTTAAAAATTTAGTTGCAAAGTCAAATCTTATTCCTAGAACCTATGACGGGCTTGTCAAGCTGAAGGAAGAACAGGAGAAGAACCTGGAAGGATCTATTGTTATTGTTATTGTTATTGTTATTGTTATTGTAATAAAGGTGAGGATGTATGTGACTGGATAACTGAGAAATCTGAGAAGCTAGAACTGGATGATCTGGCTAAAGATTTAACCACTGTTAAAGCTCTTCAGAGGAAACATAAAGGAATTGAGCGGGAACTCGCCCCAATCAAAGATAAGGTAAATCAGAGACATCTTGCGGGCACTTTAGAAGCAGATATTTAATCTGTTTAAATTGGTTGGTTGGGAAGGAGGGGGAGTACAACAAATAATCAAGTATTGGATTTTGCTTGGGGGGGGGGTTAATTAAGCTAAAATTAAGCAATGTATTCCCATGATTTCAATCGCTGCCTGATCCGAGTCAGTACAAGGATACCAGTCAAGTGTTTACTCGTACCGGACCGTCTTGTGTACCCAGTATGTAGTTGGCCCAATACGTTTTATGCAACAGTGATTTATAAAAGATTTAGGAATAGGATAGTTTTTAAACTCAAGCGCTATTTTTCGGAGGTTACTTCAGAAAAAGGGAGTTTCTTAAAACTATTCTTTACTGCAGGGCCATTTTAAAATAATAAACATCGGAAAATAGCTTGCTCAACCACCTATTAACCCTACTTCCACTATGAAAACTTTTCTTTTTTAAGTGGATTAAGTTCTTATTCTGACATGCTAAGTCCTTATTCGGCTGACATGTTCATCTGTGATGTTTCATTGTTCGAGCAAATTTTTTTCTGGCCTCTGATTGGTCAATGCTTTTCAGCGGACGAAAATCTTATTGGACAAATTCTTAATTTCTATGAGGTATCCAAAAGGTTAATCCGGGACTCCGATTAAGTACTATTTAAGTGCTTTAGAACTAGATTAAAAACACAAAAGCTTTGACCTCAGTTTAAAGGGACTATAAGCGTAATTTTAAATGACCTGTCATACAACTATATCAACCCTTAAACAGTAAAATATGTAGTATTAGATATATGCATATCACCTTTGTAAAGAAATCACAATTGAAAATAATCAGTTTTCAAAACTATAAACAGTGATATCTAATTCATACCCAATCAGACAAAGCTTTTAAGCTTTGCATGGAGGGTCACTTGAAATATTTGAGAATGAATGTAATATATCTAGTGTGGTCCATTAAGATAAATAACTTTCAAAACAAATTTCTCTAATTTTACTTTGTTTTTTTTTAGGTTGGTCAGGTGACTCAGCTGGGACGAGATGTTCTTCTCTCCTTTCCAGATGAGAGGGAGAATATTGAGGAGAGAACAAGTCAAGTACAGGTAAACAATTTTTACAATATTTTTACAAATACCTCATTACATTTTGATGTTGGGAAGGTCGTCATTATTAATCTTCAAATATACCAAAAATACTGGACTTTTCAAATGTTTCTTTAAAGAGAATCTGTAATAAAACGACCTTCTCAGCTCTGCAAAAATTAATTTATTCTTATTTTTATTATTATTATCATGATTATGTTTATGTCAGATTCTTTTTTCAAGAGATAGAATATACAAAAGATTATTTTTTGGGATTTTAGACATTTGACGGTTTCCCCTTCCTTTAAAATACCCTGGCCAATGTCTTGAAATAAAGAAAATTAACCTTCAGTCCTAACCATACCAAATGCTAAGTAGTAGCACCATGAATCGCCATATTTTTGTTTACAGCTGAATTGTACGGGAGTTCCTTGGAGGAAAACACATTTGTTTGTTTACATTCCTCCAGAATCTACAGTACGCTACTCAAAATTATAAAGTTTTCTGGTGTACCCTACTTGACCTAAACAAGTGTACGTCAATTTTTGGGAGGGATATAAACAACCCCTAGCCTGAAAGAACCATTTGTTTGTTTACATTATTCCCAGAAACTGCAGAACACTTTTTTTGTCAACAAAATAATATGGAGTTCTGATATAACCTCTTTGACCTAAATTAGTGTACGGCAGTTTTTGGAAGGGAAATAAACAAAACCTTGCCTAAGAGAATCATTTGTTTGTTTACATCATTCCCAGAATCATTCTTGACCAACAAAGTTTTGGGAGAGATTTAAAAAACAGAGTTACATTTGTTTGTTTACATTATCACTAGAATCTGCAGTACACTTACTTTGTTTGTTAATATCCTCTTTGACCTAAGCTAATCCTTATCTGTAGGCTAAATGGGAGATGTTGGAAAGCCGGGCAGCTGAGAGATCTCGACGCCTGGAGGATGCTGTGGGTAACCAGCTGTTCAACAATGGGGTTAAGCAGATCCTCGCCTGGGTGGACAACACCAAGTCCAACCTGAACACCAACGAGAACGTTAGAGATGTGCAGACTGCTGAGGAGTTGTTGAACCAGCATGCGGAGATAGGAGATGATATTCGGGCTAACCAGGAACCAAATTTAATCAATACAAAGAATTACTTGCACCGTTGCATATATTTTCTTCCAGTGTTAAAATTTTGCATAGTGTAAGAAAATCAAATGTTTTCTTAAATTTTTATTTATAACATTTGCCTTTCTTACACTTTGTCAAATTTTGATCATAACAGAAGATTTACGCAAAAAAAGGACCAAAGAACTGTCCAACAACACTCAAAAAAAGGACCAAAGAACTGTCCAACAACACTCAAAAAAAGGACCAAAGAACTGTCCAAAAACACTCCAAAAAACTGCAAAAAGGACCAAAGAACTATCCTAAAACACTCCAAAAAAGGACCAAAGAAGAACTGTCCAAAAACACTCCAAACAAAGGACCAAAGAACTGTCCGAAAACACTGCAAAAAAAGGACCAAGGAACTGTCCAAAAACACTGCAAAAAAGGACCAAAGAACTGTCCAAAAACACTCCAAAAAAGGACCAAAGAACTGTCCAAAAAAACACTCCAAAAAAAGGACCAAAGAACTGTCCAAAAACACTGCATAAACGAACGTGTTGTAACAATGTAACGATTTTATTAGATTATTTTCCAATTTTGATAAAAATATTGCGAAGTTTAATAAAAGCAAACTTTAGTTTTAAAATCTTGGTTTTTTTAACGATTTACCCCGATTAACAACACTAGTTGAACCACTTGTGTACTGGTTGGTTGAGACAAGTCCGAGATCTTCAACTTTTTAATCGAGAAGCTGATCATATAGAAGCTGCCACCTCGGCTCAAGCTAAGGAAAATAATTCAACATATTGTTCATTTTATCATCCATATATTATTAACACTAGATGTCGTCTTTTCAAGATTTAACGGTTTTTCGTTCACAATAACCCTGATTCCAAAGGAGTTAGCGCAGGCAGCGTTGAATTACCAGACAGAGCGAAGACATGCTCTTGACTCCTTTGGGCTTCTGCCTCAGGATTATTTTGAATAAAAAAACCTTAAATCGTGAAATGGCGACATCTAGTGTTCTCTCCGTATTGTAATTAATCTATGGTTTTATCTCAAATAATTCTTTGCTCGTCTTTTTGAGTTTGAATTAAAAGTTTTGCTCAGTTATCAGATATTTTTCTTTCCTTTATCACGAAAAGTAAACATCTACTTTTACCATAGAGTTGTAAAGTTTCACTCAAAATTACATTCAAAACTATTAATAATTGGCTAACTACGAGCTGCATTGCAAATTTAAAAACCTTTTTTCAATCCTAACTTTGTAAAAGTCTGATTTGATTTGATTCGATTCGGTTTGGTTTGGTTTGGTTTGGTTTGGTTTGGTTTGGTTTGGTTTGGTTTGGTTT